CCATGGACAAGTGAAGCTATCACTGTGCCCTCAGAGCCTGGAGACTTTCCTCGCTCCTTGAGAGATGTGAGAATGCACTCCGGTAGGACCTCATCATCAGGACCACTAAGATGCATCCGTCTGGAGGGGAGGGGCTGATCTGTGGGCCCTGGAGTCTTCATGGCCAAGAGCCAGCAGGTCCTTCCCAGGGGTAGGAGAGAGGGGAAGTGGCGTGCCATGGTGAAGCCCCTCATGGTAGGCTTGATCATACCCGAGGACCCAGCCTAGAGCCTGACACATCACAGGCACTCAGAAACATTTTAAGAATTGGGGGGTGAGCTGGATAGATGGGCGGCCGGATCGATGGAAGGAAGAAGAAATAAATGAATAGTGTGACCTTGGAGGTGACTTTCTGCTCTCTGAACTTGGCTTCTTTGTCTTCTGAGGTTTCAGGCTTGAAATTAATTCCAGGGGGAAACGAACAAAGGAAAAAGCCTGCAGGGCCTGTGTGATGATAATCTGGGAGGGCATGTTCTAGAGGGAGGCAGGAAAGCAGAGGGAAGCTTACCTGACCGTCCAGAGCGGCACTGGTCACAACAGACAAAGTGGAAACAGTCCAGATGCCCATATGCTCTGAACAGATAAACAAAGAGGGGTGTATCCACACAGTGGAATAGTATTCAGCCATTAAAGGGTCTGAGACACGCTACAGTGTGGATGAACCCTGGAAACATGATGCTCAGTGAAAGGTGCCAGTCAAAGAAGGCCACATATCATGGGATCTATTTGTACAAAATGTCCAGAAGAGGCCATTCATAAGGACAGAAAGTAGATCCAAGGATGCCAGGGGCTGGGGGTGGGATGAGGTGATGTTTTAGAAACAGACAGAAGTGGTGATTGCACATTATTGTGAATTTCATCAGTGCCACAGAATTGAACACGTAAAAATGGGAAATTTTAGGTTATAAGTATTTTACCATGATAATTAAATAAACAATGGGAACTTGAGGTCCCTCTTAGGGATTCTGTGAAGGTCCCCAGGATCCACGTGGTCGGGGGAGTGGGTATTGGTCCCCTCAGGTCCCCAGCAGCCCGGGAGGCCCTCAGGGCATTAGTTCCCCAGCAGAGTCCTGGTCAGGCTTGTCTAAGCCTCATGGTCTCCTCCTCAGAGGGCTGTTCCCGAATCCCCTGACATCCCACTTAGCAATCCCTTCAAAGTTTTCATAGCTTCTCTATTTCTCCTTCCTAACATTTAGCTCCAGCATTATGATCTGCATGGTTTGTTTAGTTTTTCATCACCTACTTTCACAGATGACCCATGTCCTGGAGCTGAACCACATGAAAGCAGGGG